TATATTTTTTCCCACTTTTCCATATTAAGTTTAAGGTTTTTACTTAAGGAAAAAACATATACATTATACTGAAATTCTATAAAAATTATACATTATAAAACTTTATATTTTTATGGAATTTTTATATCAAATTTTTTATTGGATCTATTTAATTAGTTATTTTTTAATCTTTTAATATTATAATATTATTATTTTATTTTCTTTTTGTTAATATAATTTATATGAATAATGTTTTATAATTTCTTGACTTTACAATGTAAAAGTAGATTATTAAAAAGCTGAAAATTTATTAACAAAATCATAACTTTTATCTATTCTTAACTCTTTAATACTTTTTTTACATGATTTAAAATAATTAAAATTTTGAGATTTAATAAGTAAATCTTATAATTATTTAATAAATATTCTTCAAAACATTAGAAATGTATTATTTGAAACTATTACAAATACTAATAATAAAAAATAATATTTTATAATTAAAGGTTACATTAAAAAAAAATTAATTTTATTTATATATATTATATATAGTTTTAGATTAAATAGTATAAGAAATTTTTTTTATAATTAGTTAAATAATTGAATTTCAGAAATTTTCCTACCATAAAAGAAGCGATATACATAATCAAATTTTAAAAATTAAAAGTAATCTTAGTAAACTAGAAAATTTTCTCATTATTAATTCTTTTAAAAGAATTTTTCATTAAAGAATCTTATTTTTTATTTTTAATAAAAGGTTTATTTATATTTCTTTATAAAGAATATTATTAATACTAATATATTTATATAGATTTATTATTATTTTATATAAATATTTAATTAAGAACTTATAATTTAATTGGTTAATTATAAGCAAATCATTAAAATTGAATTAAATATATAATGTAAATAATTTTTGATATAAAGTTAATATATAAAATAATCTAATAAAAGTAAAAAGCAAAATTATAAATTAAGTATTTTATATTTTATAAAATCTTAAAAATCTAAAATAATAAAATCCAATAGGATATAATTTCTTATAAAAAGTATGTTAAAAATAGAAAATGCACCATATGCTGTGAAATACGCCAATGTAGTGTCCGATCGTCATACATAAGCTTCTAGCCATAAATAACAGGCATCATGAAATTTTGAAAACCTGGAACTAACAATTGAATTTTTTGACAAATGACCGATCGACTAACAGACCAACCGATTTTTTGATTTTCTGTAGATCCAATAAATCATTCTGAATTAAATAATTTTTTGAATTGAAAGTGAACTCCTCAATTATTAACCATATTGAAGGCTTGAGAAATGCAAGAAATAATTGAAAATAAGATTCAATGATAATCTTATCGTAAGTTGACGACATTTATTATTTTTTATTTGCGAAAAACTCTATTGCAAACCTGGTAGTCAGGTTTTACGAGTCACAAATGTTTTATGGGAAAAAAAGAACTGATAAGGATTCCCCCAGAAAATAAATAAGTAATCGAAAGTTAATATTTAATTTTTAATTTTTAATTAGACCATTTTAAATCTGTTGACCATTTTTCACGTGATTCCTATAAGAGTTGTTTGTTATGCTTCAATGAATTTGTTCTTTTTCAAATCAACTTTCACATTAAGAAACCGACCTAAACCATATTTATATTTGATCCACATATGATGTAAATGTGTTTTTTTTTAAACCTGCGGCTATTAACTTTTATGGTCATAGGCGCATGTTATAGTATCGAAAACTATAAAAGGATCACAACATTACGAAAAAATCTTCACCAATTGACCCAAGATGATTCAAAAAATAATAAGAATTATAAGACCAATTCAATTTATTATTTTAATGATAATAATTGGTTTGGGTATGAAAATATTAATGAATTTTCACAAATAAGTTACTTTGATTTTATAACATTTTATAACCCTTTTTCTTTTATTCGCTAAATAACAGAAATAACTCAGATAGTAGGATTTGCCACTAGCAGAGATTCGTTTGAATTTCCTAATGAACCCGATTCAGCACCTATGTCTTCAAAAGTTTCATGGTCCACTTATTTTGAAGACATGAATGAGTAAGTAAATCAATTATACGACTCCCGATTAAAGAACAATTATATTTATTTATTTATTTATGTTTTGTTAGTCAGCATGGAATTAAAGTACTCTATTATATCGTGATTCCAGTAACACTAGTCTGTCCACGTAAGTCTTTTAAGTTTAAAAGGAAAGTTTTTTTATTTTCCCTTAATTAATAAAAATTATTATTTGACTTTCTCAGAATTTTTTTGGAAAGGATTTGGCAGAGAAAAATTTTTATCTCGAGACAAATACTATGAATTGTAAGCATGAAAACTTTTAAATAAATAAAATAAAATACCTAAATTCACCGTCTTTTTTTTTTTATTTTTTCCTTGTAGTTTTTATTTAGTCATATGGATTGTAGTCTGTAAGTTATGTTTTATATTGTAAATTATTCATTTAAAAAGATAATAAAAATAACTCCAAAATTTTTTAGGTTTCTCAAATTTATCGCCAGTATTTGATAAGTCGAATTTAAATTGTAATAGTGATCAATGGCGGCTTCAAGCTTACAGATGCAAAGCATACATTTCAAGTACATTTTTTTGTTTTGTTATGACATTGACTTGGATAATGTCTACCTCTTCATTAATTATCTATTTTCATACAATTAAAGAAGAGGCAGCTAATAATAATAAAGAATTTGAGGATAATGAAAATGTTTAAATTAAAATCACAAACAAATTTTCTATCAAGTCGACGTTATTGATTTTTTATTCTATTTCTTTTATTATGTTGAATTAACAATTTTTGTATACAGAACACCTTTTTCTTTTAATCATTATCAAAAAAATAAATTTTTTTTAAAAAAAAAAAAAAAGTTGCATGAGCCAGCAGAAATGCGTATCATTGTTTCACTGCATACGTTCGTATTCGAACCATAACAATATGTAATAATTTATATATTTTTATATTTTTAAACTAACACAAATGTAACATTTTATAATAATTACACAGTAATATTATGTAATATTAGAAGACAATAGAGAAGAACTTTTAGTTGAAGGTGACTGTAAACAAATAATAATTCCATTAATTATCAAAATTAATATAAAATCTTAATATAAATTAACTGGGTGAGGGTGACCCAGTTCTATCTTTTTCATTTTCATTTTGAGCAAATTGATTACGAATTTTCTCACGTTGAACACATAAATAAATTGTATATATGGTCGTAAATAAGAATAATAATGCCATGATCCAACCAATTGTCATGCTTGCAAGATAAGTACGACATTCTGTCAATCTACCAGGTATGTCTCGGAATTCTTCTTTTAAATCACAATTTAAATTTGAATTTGAATCATCAGTGTACACAGGATAGACGTTCGTAAATCCTAGCAACATCAAGTTTTTGTTTTTTTTTTGTGAGATTGTCGCGAAAAACGGTTCAAGTTTATTAATTAACTTACCAACTGCTAGCCATAGTAATAAAAAGATGCTAATTTAGGGTCAAATGTTTAAAATTAGTAATGCGACTTTGATGTAGCAAAAATATATTATTATACATACATATCAAAAAAGATAATCTTTCTATGAGGCCCGGTTCTCCATTGACGCGTAAAAGTAATCAGATTAATCACTTTAAAACAAATCAATGTTATAAATACTTTTAGTGAAAGAAATATAACCGAATGCATTATCGTTGTACTTACGAATATAAATTAATGTAACTATTATAACAAAATAGTACAAATATTTTATTCCATGTTGTCTAATTTTAAAGCAAATTAAAAATTTTTCTCTTTTTATCATTGAAAAAAAAAAAATCTATTTAGTAATTTACTTGTAAAATTCTTTGAACCATTCTTTCCATGATAATGGTAGCTCTTTATAATTATATCCAAATAGGATTAATTGGGTTATTTCTATTATAGGATGAATGTTAAAAAAAGATTTTCAAATAAAAACTATAAATTGTTTTATAAAACGTTCTCTGTTACCTAAGCCAATTATACATAGTAAAATTATGAATTGTACGAGTATTAAGAACAAATAAAATCCTTTCTCTTTCATCATTTTACTTATGAAAATAAGACAAAAAGCGAGAATGTTTTCCTTTTATATATATAAATTCTTATTTCACCTGACTTTTTTTTGATACAAAAGTCATAAATTATAGCGTCATTATATCTATTTTTGGCTTAAGCTATTACTAATTTATAAACCCAAAAGGAACTCTAATACCTCGCGCCAAACATCAGCCGAATCAAGAAATCATAATTGCAAAAATGTTAAATGTCGATCATGAGTTAAATTTCGTCATAATGCAGATCTCTAAAACTTTTTTTAATTATTATGTATTAAAAATATAAATTTTATTAAATTTAAATTAATCTAATTTAATCTAACAAAAATTTTTAAATAAAATTAAGATAAAACATTAATCTTATTTGATTTATTCAAAATTTTATATTAAAATTTTATTTAAATAAAATTTTTAATATTTATAATATAATAAATATTTATATCGCGGGTTGCGATTCTTAAAATTATCACTCTATAAATAAATCATATAAAATCGTAAAAATGGTATCAATTCAATGTCG